GCCATTAAAATGCCTCAAGCAGATCTGTGATGATATGTATATATGAATATGAATATATACATATGTATATGTAGGACCCATGGATTTTGATTATTCAGTGGTGCAGCTTCCCTCCCCCCGCAATGTTTGTACACATCTATGTGAACAGCACAAGGAACATCTTCACCTTAATCAGACAAGGACATATCCTAAGAGAATTAATTGTGAAATGTATATAGGAAGTCATTAATAATACCATAAATTGAAATAAGCTTATAAATCCTACATTTTCCTGTAAAAAAAAAAAAAAAAAAAAAAAAAACCAAAACAAAAAAACCAACTTCCAGTAACATATAACAAACCAAGACTGTGTTAAGCAATAAATACAATTTTTTTCCCAACATATTTCCCTTTATTTGATGAAGGTTTTATGACACATTAGTTTTTTTCTCAACCACCTCAGTTCCTGCTAACACATCCCTAATGAGAATTTGCCACTCATAGTGTTCCATAAGTCTTTGGCTTTTCTTTGTTATTTCCAGGCAAGCTGTTCTCTGTTCTGAAGTCTGAAGCTGGAGCTGTATCAAAGCTGAAGAATATGCAATCTGTGTCTGTATCTTCCAAGCAGAGACATGTTGGCATTCTGGTAACACAGTCATGAGAGCTGCACGCAAACCAACATAGAGAAAAGACATCTGAAATTGCTGGAGATATAAAATAAAGCAGTGCTCTCATTACACACAAACTGTGAAATTTAATCAGGCTTCAACAAAAGTTCTTGTTTTCATTTAGCTTTTAATTTACCTGTGAGTTGCTGAGCCCTACAGAACAGAAGAAGGTTAAAGGAAAATGTTATGGTTACACAGACTGAGCAGAATTGTTTAAGTCCAGAAGCTTACAGGTAGTTTCCAGTCCTGCAAACGCTGCCTCTGTGATCTCACACAGAAAACCTGGATGTGGGTGCCTCAGCCCCACTTCTCGACGTGCAGATACCACTGTAGCACACTAAATATGGCTACATTGATATTTCTTACATAATTCCCTATGACTTTGATAGGGGTTCAACAATCATCCGTCAAAAGTGTATTTCTCTAACTTACCAGAACATAAGTTGCTAGCAGTACATCATCTTTACTTCTTTTTTGATACTTCCATGCCTGAGGGTACTTTTTATAACTTTTCTTTTAAAAGCACATTTTTAACATCATCTTCAATGTTAGAGGGGCGTAAGACTTGAGGTTCTGATCTTACAATTTGTTCGTTTTTTTCATTGCAGCCAGAAACTATCCTACAGCCAGTATCATTTAAAACAGAATCTGAACAGTATGATTGCCACAGCCCTAATCATAGTTTTGAGAAGAGGTGCATAGCAAGCAAGTCAGACAAGAGGCTGCTTGAATCGGCATCAGCATTACCAACTAGAAGAAATGTTTTCTTTGCCACTGAGTCTCTTGTAAGCAAATTCGGTGACACTGAGAAAATGTATTAGTTTACACTAATAAGAGTGGTTGTATGCAGCTTTGTCCTCATCAGCATTCAGCACTGCTAGCACTTAATCCCAGTTTCCACTGATGCAGGCAGGCATAGACCTGCTCAGCAGCTACTGCAGAACTGTCCCTATATTCATAGTGCAAAAGTGAACAGGTTTTTTCAACATACTGTCAGGTGAATATTTACTCAGTGTACCATTGGCCTGGGTTTCTGTTTTCTTTCACTCCTTAGAACTCCCTAGTTTTATGCATCATCTTCTAATACTTTTTTTTCCTCTTAATTAATTACTTCAGGATATTTCTATCTGCTTCTTACTGAGAGCAGAAAGTTCCATAAACCATAGCTGAAGTTTATGTTAACTTCAGAGTGACTCAGCAGCACTTAAGAGATTTTAGGGCAGACTGAACATATCAGCATAGTGCTACTGTACTACTCAGCTACTAAACTTCTATGCGTGCATCAAAGAAATCAGTGAAGAAACAGCAAAGAATGTCATGGTTTAAGAAATGTCCTTCCCATTACTGTGTGAAACCCATCTGGCTCCATGGCACTGAAGGAGAAGGTGAATCACTGTCATTAGTAGGACATATCCCATCTCTAGTACTGCTCTACTGTGAGAGAGGGAGAGCTGACAGCATCTTCCAACAGCTTATCATAGTGAGCATTTCTCTGATGAAATCAGCAGCTGTGAGGGCCTCCAGACTGATAACCTAGGCCATACGTACAAGCCTGCCGTCTTATTGGTGCCTCATTTCTCTTAGGCTCTTTGGGAAGCAGTTTCTCAGTCCCAAACCAGGGTTGAACATTGATTACCATGGTTTGTGTTGTTCATCAGTGTCCTGAGCTCTGTAATCCATGATGACCTACCCACACCAAAGAAAGCTAGGAAGTCCACGTAAAGTCAGTAAAGGTGAAAAGAAGCCAGTAACTTATAGGCTGCAGGGTTCTCAGTTATACCTTCATGCAGCCACCTATCTAATAATGCAGTAGATTTAGAGGTAGGTGTTTTTATTATTATTTCCCAGAATTTAGGTCTGATTCACCTTGGGAAGATCAGACTCAAGCTGTCAGTGCCATAATGGTGGAAACCGAAAGAAGGTCAGGCTCAAGTTGCTGCTTTAACCTCTCTGCTTTAGCTGTTTCAGCTCCTCAAATCAAAACAATTTCTATCTCTTTTTTCAGCGGCTGGTCAGAGATCTCTGTGACAGGCTGTATGCTGTCAGCGCCTCTGCACTCTGTCAAACTAACAAAAACTGCATGATTTGGAGATAAAATTCACCCACTTTGTCCACTCCATACCAAACATAACACGGGTTTCTTAGGTAGCATTTCACATCTGGCGTTCAAAAGGTCCCAGATGAAGATATAAGATTGTGGTTTGGATATATGTGAATTTCTATCCTCCTACAGCTGGTTTATAGCTGGACCTTGGAAGCCTGCAAATAGAAACACATTTAGCTCAACTGTAGACAAGCTGACTTTTTCCATGTGTAGGAATGAAGCGAGCTGTGCAACTCATGGGTGTGAGGTTCTTCCAGTCTTGTCTGCAGAGGACAACAACCTGTTGTGCCTCCTCACCAGGGCGTGCAGTCTGAGCCTCAAGGCCTGGTGGTGTCAGCTGGGATGTGATCCAGGCAAGGCCCGGGTGCTACACAATGGGAATCATGCTGCTGATAGCACATACCTCATGCCTCTCTTTCACAAGCAAATAGTTCTTACATCCAAGTGCCACTTCTGCCAAAACACGTAGAAAGGATTGCTAGGAATGTCCTGTAAACACATCACACCTTAACCTGCAATTCCAGGTATAATTTCACCACGCTGAAGTTCACTGATATAGGTTAGCAAAGCTTTATTTTAAGTGTTACTCAAACGGAGCAACTCTGCTAGCACAAGCCACGTTCAATTTATTTTTCACGTGAGTAGCTGATGGAAGTAGAGGGCAGAAACGTGAAGGATTCAGACACATGTGGGCACACAGACCCACAGGTGCACATGGGCACACAGGCTCAGGAGTCCTGGGGATGAGCTGGCCGGCCCCGAAGGTCTTCAGAGATACGGGGTTCTGGAGCAGGCAGTATCCATGACTTCAGCTCAGAGAGCACAGAGAGATAAACCCCGCTAGCATCACCTTTTTATTAGCTGGGTTGTGTGTTGGAGTGTCCCAGTGCTGGCTGCTCTGCACACCCATGTCAGCTCAGTTTGGAGCTGTAGACCCTGATATGACTGCTACATGCAAAGCTCTCTTCTGACGTGAGACCTGCCCAAGGGCCACTCCTCCACACCGTGGAGCTGCACAGAACACCTAAGCCTGCGTCGTGTTGTCCTTATGTAGTCCAACACTTGTCACTGCTTAACGCATCAGAGTAACAAACCAGTTAGGGTACAAGAAACCTGTCCCATGGAGTTGCAAGAGAAGCATAGGTTCAAATACACCCTTACCCACCGAGAACAGTTATTTTGATAGTTGCATCTGTGACTGAAATAACAGAGGAAAACAGCCAGCTGCATGAAATAAACCACTGTCCATCTGCTCTGCCTGCCTTTGCCTGAACAAAGTGCCCGTCGCTAGCTGCCTGCTTGCTGCTGTTCTGGGCTCCCTGAACACGTCCTGAAGCCTCCCCTCAGCCTGCTGTGCTCCGGGCTGCGCACACCCAAGGCATCCCCAGCAACACCTCGTTGATGTCTGCTGTCCCGTGCGGTCCCGAGGCATTAGCAGAAGTAAGAGAGAAGACACTCTCAGCACATTTATCACAACATGGTGCTGAGCCGAAGTTCCCGGAGGCAAAGGAATTTCCCAGGTGGGCACCTACACCGCGGTACCGCTCTGCCACAAGGTGCAGGCGCTTCACAGCGGTCCGCTAAGCGCAGTTTGCTGCACGTCCCTCTCGTCTCCCGCGCCCATCATTTCTCAGGCCAGTTAGCAGCTCTCTCGCGGACGTCCTGCCCTCTGACTCTCCGTCTCCCTGTCCCTCCTCCCAAGCCCACTCTCCCTCCTCCCCTTCCTCCTTCTTCCGCATCCCCTGGCTCCCAGCCGGCCGCCCCTCCTTTCCCCCGCCCCCACACGATCCCGTTTCCCACCCCGTCCTCCAGACCTGCAGCCCACCGACCCCTCCCACGCCACCCGCCGTCGGAGCGGCCGGCCGCCCTCCCTCGGCTCCCGCGCGGCGGGGCAGGCCCGGCGGGCGGCAACACCCCGCGGCTGGGAGGCCCCGGCGGGCGGCCCGGCCCCGCCACCGCA